GGGTCCTAGATACTGTTATGGGGGATACTTTCCCAAATCATCATAACAATTCCTAATATAGAAACCCTACATTCTACTATATAGGTGCTTTGGACCCTTTGGGTGGTAGAAGTTAGAAGCCTAAAAGTGGGAAACCCAGTAGCCTCTATCCTTAGGAGTAATGTATAGGGAATCCCAGCACTAATGGTGCAAAATCCGGCTTCCAATTTTTGAGGGCTTACTGTAGAGCAGTTCCGGGATTTTAGGCGTCGAGTTTGCCTGGAGTCCCAAACCCTACAAAATAGAAATTCGTTTATGATGCTGCAGCTACGGGGTGCAGCCCCTTCATCGTAGGTTCTTGGATCCCAAGGTATGGCTTCGGACAGGATTTCCAATGACGATGCTAAAAACACACCCTGCTCTGTGCACCTCTTCATGTCGCCCAGGCGCTCGCTGCTTCCTAGCATGGCCTCAGCGAACTCCAAAGCAAAAACTTCAATGATCTACCTATAGTCTCCATTGTAGTTCCTTCTTAGGGATACCTTATGAAGTCCTTAATATATAACTGGTTAAACCAAAAAAAAAAGGAACTACAATGGAGACTATAGGTAATGCAGGAACCTGATCAAGAAACCTTGGGTCTCTATATGGATCCCAATAGTTTGGTTTAGGGTTTAGGGTTTAGGGTTTAGGGTTTAGGGTTTAGGGTTTAGGGTTTAGGGTTTAGGGCTTAGGGTTTAGGGTTTTCGGTGCAGGGTTTAGGGTTAAACCCTCAACCCTAATCCCTAAACCTTTGGGGTTATAGGGCCGAGCTTTCTTAGTCAGGTACCTACGTTAAGAACTACAGAGGTTGACTGCTTAGGCTGTTTAGGGTGGTGCATAATACAGGGCCTAAATAATTACCAATACTATTTTGTGGATTCCTTATGATTATGGTTGAATGTATATTAATATACCCCCACACTCTATTCTAATTATTCAGGTCCCTGTATTAATGCCCGTGGCAGGCCAGAACTCTATGAAGGAGCTCTCTCGCGTCCCGTGCACTCGGAAGACCTTTTCAGAACAGCTTCCGCTTTCCGCTGATATGGTCGATGCTCCCTCGGATGCCCTCAATGGCCACTTCCAGTCGCTCTCGGACGCTTGAGGCAGAAAGTACTGCCGGCCGAATTTCGTAGGCCACACCTCGCGGGTGCACAAAGGGTTGACCAGGGAACACAGATGCTCCCAAAGACTCCAATACATATCCTTAACCAAGGGCTCTTTCATGAATGTATCTAATTCAAAAAGTCTAAGGATCTTCGTCAATTGAGAGATAGTTATTATTGGAATCTCCGGATGTCCCTTTGCTTGCGCTTCCCTCGCCTAGGGCTGGAATTGGGTTGACCAGCGCAGCCACCCAGATCGCCAGCTCCCCTGGTGCTTTTGCTTCTGGCATGTCGCCGAGGTCCTGTCCAAACTTCAGGTGCAGGGTTTAGGGTTTAGGGCGCATGATCTTCGAAGGGATATGCAGGTATATACAGTATACACCACGTCACAGGACCACATATCCAGTAAGGCACATGTATGTATGTATGTATGTATGTATGTATGTATGTATGTATGCATGTATGTCTGTATGTATGTATGTATGTATGTATGTATGTATGTATGTATGTATGTATACGTAATGCGTATGGCTAAGTCTATGTCTCTCTGTGTCTGTGTGCGTTTACCTCTGCGCATCGGCTTCTCGTAATTATATTTGTAACTACTGATATCCCAGATGGTACTCTTACTTACCAATTCCCCTAAAGCCCGTATAGAAGGCATGTAGTACCCTTAAAGAACCCTTTTATAGAAACCTTCTAAGGTCCGCTAAAACCCTTTTGGCAACCCTCTTAGATCCCCTCAAAGGAATCCGTAAGGGAACCCTTACAGGAACCCTATTTAACGAATGTAAACCACAGTCCTTTAAGATGTCGGACAGCTGGCCGTCGTACCGCTCTTTCTCAGCCAGTGGCGAGCATTAGAAGGCATGGGGTTCAGGGTACAGGGTTTATGGTTTAGGGTTTATGGGGTTTAGAATAAATAGCAATACCAATACAAACTTGGGATTCCTAGGTATGATTATGCTGATAGCCATTAGCCCCCTACAGTCTGAAGAGATACGAGTTGTGACAGCTCGGCAGGGATGTACCCCTGAGCGTGACTCGTAGCTATCACACGCTTTGCGCTAATTCATCTAGATGCAGCATCCGCCTGTCTATGTCTGTGTGCTTGAAGGATCTCAAAGGTAAGCTTGGTTGATACATGCTGGGACGCTGACGCCCATCTCCATGAGGGTTGCGGTCCATTCATCCACGAGCGGAACCAGCGTCTCAGCAAGCTTCACATCCTCCTGCGAAACCGCTTAATATCTCAACCTTAACAACGACGCGTATGTATCTGTATAAGACCCCTTACATAGCAACCACTATAATACATAGGGGCCTTAACCGTTAGAATAGGGTTTTGGGACATATATTATACTATAAGTTTAATAAGGAACCCCCGAAACCGATATAGGTAATTCTTAAGGGCCCTTATATTATACGAGTCCTTCTCTTTCTCAGGCCCCAAACTCCAAATCCTAAACCCTAAAACCNNCCTAAACCCTAAACCCCAACCTAAACAAGGTTCTGGGATCGGCATGAAACTCGCTCGCCATTGGGGTCTAAAGCGGGGGACGTCTGATCCGAGCCCATCTTGACCACACAATTGGTTTAGGGTTTAGGGTTTA